ATTTATCCACTGTATAATAACACAATATACAGTCCTATATATTTATCTATATTTATCCTCTATACAGTTCTCTACATTTATTTGATTTGATTTAATTTTACTTGAATTTTATTTTACTTTTATTCTTATCTCTACTTTCTATATTTAGCTAAGAGTTGATTGTTTACTGTTTGTTGTTTACTTTTTATATTTATTTATATATTTATATATTTTTTTATACCTCTTTTATTTTCTATATTTTCTATCTATATACAAGTGTTTTGTACACTGCTGGAAATTCAGTTTCCTTGAGGGAGTCATCCTAAAAGGATCAGTAAAGTAAAGTGAAGTCTAATATTGAATTGAATAATTTTGAAAGCGGAAGCGGAAATACAGCCTCAGGAAAATCTACTGCGCTTTCGTGAGCTGTCAAACAACAACGCTGCATCGACCGCGACCAGAGAGACGGACCAAGTTCGAGTCCGAGCCGAACCGAGCCGAGCCGAGCCTGTACCTCGAAAATAACAAGGACCTCAACCATGTCCGCTGCTTTCCTCGCCAGCCTCCTCCTCTGCTGCCTCCAGTCCAGCCCCGGTAAGTCCGTCCGTCGGTCCGTCGGTCGGTCGGTTGTTTTAGCTGCTGCTGGCTCATCAATGTCTCCTAACGAGGTTACAAAGTGCAGCTCCCTCCAGCACTGCATTTATACATCATAAAGGACAGCAGTGGCTGTGTTTGTGCGTTTGTGGCCCATTTTCCTGTTTTTACTGTGTACGACGAAATGAAGCATCAGACGCGTTTATGGCCTGTTAGCTGCTGCTGCTGCTGCTGCACGGTGGCTCACTGTGTCTCGTTTGTCTCTGCAGCTGAGGACACTTTGATATGTTCTGTATAAAATCTCACTTCTCTGAACAGTCAGCTCAGTGTCTAATGAGGAAGATGATCAGTGGTGGCATTCAGATCCTTTACTTAAGGAGAACTGCGATACTACACAGTGGATATCACTACTTAATACTAAGTAAAAGTGCTGCATTCAAAATCTAAACCTTCATTTAATTAAATGTATATATGTGTGTGTGTGTGTGTGTGTTTGTGTGTGTATTATTATCAAAACCTACTTAGTATCGAAAGTAAAAGTAGTTATTCTGCAGCAAAATGGCCTCTGTCAGTGTTTAGTGTATCAATATCACTGCTGGATTAAAGGTTTAAGAAAATCTCCACTAGATAGGAATGTTTAAAATGTAAAATGAGGGTCATATTTCGTAAAATCAT